TTTTAAGGATACTACAAATAGTTTTAACCATAATATTCATGCCTGAAACTTAAAAAATGTTACAAAATACATGCTGGGACAAAATTGACCCAGCGGCGCTTTTAGGGGGGTCGTAATCTTCGGCACTTCTAGTGTTAACGTAAAGACGTTGATGCGAAATAACATTGCACGGTTATAAAAAAGCTACAATCTAAGTTATAAAGCAAGGTGTGGTTATTTCAATAAGCAACTTTATTGTACACTAAGGGAAGTGCGCCCTTAACGAGGTGCTTTTATGGCTGTTTTACGACTGAGGCGACCAACTTAGCTGTACTGGATGAAAAAGTGGGCGCTCTATGACAAATGACGGTCGACGACCTTTTCAGGACTGTTTGAGCAATTGGGTTGTTTTTTCTAGAAGTCTAAAAGAAATTGCCACTATTACAAATGATCTAAAGTCCCATAATGGCAAACGATAAGTGTCTCTTCTTTGGCAGAGTGATCGTGGTCGTCACACCTGGTTTGGTGGCAAGCTTCACTATCCGTCGCCCTTCCTCACGAATTGCTGCCTTTCTTGTGCACTCGTGGAGTGGACCACTGAGTGCGGTTTTGACCTGATCGGTCTAGCGCATGGGCGACCTGCAGCGCGCTCTTGTGCCTTCAACCTTCCCCTGCACGACAAGTCTTTATGGTTCCTTCCTAGGCCGCTACCAACCGGGCGATGTGGAAATCATTAGTGGAGGCCCATGTTCAGCAGTGGACGTCCTGTCGTCCTGTGGCTGTAATGATGATGATAATGATTATGAAGTAAAGTGGCAGCCATTGCTAGATTTATTTAAATCAAGTAATGTTTACATTCTGCGTATCTTCGTTATTATGTCACTACAATCTACATCAATGGCAAGAGTTTATCTCGCTGACCGCACGAGCATGATTAGGTATTACGTATAAGTTATAAGCATTGGACAAACCCAATTATTATTTAAGTTATTTACGTCATGAGTCAAATATTAATTGATTACTGTAAAGTTTTTAGTTGCCGAAAAACTAGACACAATAGAAAATCTATTTTGTGATAAGCAGAGAAAAAATTACAAATAATATTATATACATATATAATTTTTACTAACTAGCAGAGCTTATGCTACCTATAGCATAAGCTATAGGTACCTATAACTACTAGACAACAGATTCAGTATCAAGTTCTTACTAAATCTTTCAATCTCACTATTAAATTCAAATTAACGCTTTGTATGGTAGTTACATACTCATAAATTAAATAGGGATTTAGTACGATCATACTACCTACTAGAAGAAGATAAGATGGGAGGGACTTCCCACAGTAATGTTTTGGTTTCCAGGAATTCATATGATACGATGCTTTATTGCAGCGCTCGTGATCTTTAAACGAACACGTTTTCCGCAATGTTTCTATTATAAGTGTGTTTTATACAGTGTGAGTCACGTTAAAGTGTACATATGAAAATATATAAAACTAGACCTATTTTTATCGACAAAAAAGAGGTCAAAATTTTTTTGAGATTTTTTTAAATTTTTATAGATTTTTTTTTCTTCCAATTACTTATTGTAAAGAAAACGTAATAACTTTTAAACTAAGCGGTATATCCTGATAAAATAAAAACAGTAATAATGCTAAATAATAGGTGATACTAAAAAAATACATAAAATACCCTCAAAATGCCAACAAATAATAAAAAAAGATACTTTTTGAAAAAAATCTGCTTAAAAATTCGTATTTTTTTGGTTATTTCATAAATTTCTCCAAAAAATGCCCCATTAACAGGTGGTTTTTATTGCTTTTTATTATTCTCCATCGTATTACTTTTGTAAAACCAAAAATCGCATGTCTCTATCCCTATCACAACGTTTGCAATGATCGTTTGAACAAAGCCTCTACGGGCGCGCCATTCAACGCTTTGTTAGCAACGAAACTGAAAATGGCTCTAGATTTGTAATTTTGATAAAAACAAGTTAGATTTCAAATAAAAACAAAAGATTTCGAATTTTATTTAAAAATAAAATTGTCTCTACCTGTAGCGGAGAATAATGTTGTGGCAGGCCTTTGTTCAAACGATCATAGCAAATGTTGTGATAGGTATAGAGACATGCGATTTTTGGTTTTACAAAGATAATACGATAGAAAATAATACAAAGTAATAAAAACCACCGGTTATATGGGCATTTTTTGGAGAAATTTATAAAATAACCAAAAAAACACGAATTTTTAAGCAGATTTTTTTCAAAAAGTATCATTTTTTATTATTTGTTGGCACTTTTTGTGTATTTTATGTAGTTTTTTAGTATTGCCTGTTATTTAGCATTATTACTGTTTTTATTTTATCAGGATATACCGTTTAGTTTAAAAGTTATTACGTTTTCTTTACAATAAGTAATTTGAAGAAAAAAAATTCTATAAAAAATTAAAAAAAAATGTCAAAAAATTTTTGACCTCTTTTTTGTCGATAAAAATAGGTCTAGTTTCATCTATTTTCATATGTACACTTTAACGTGACTCACACTGTATAAATAAATAAATAAATAAATATCCTTGGACATTTTACACTGCGCCGCTAGTCCCAAACTAAGCAAAGCTAGTACTATGGGTACTAGACAACGGATATAAACATACTTAAATACTTTTTTTTTGTAAATACATAGGTACATTTATACATAGAAAACACCCAGACCCGTCACAGAAATTAAAATTCATCATTTCAATTTCTGCCCGACCGGGAATCGAACCCGGGACCTCTTAGCATAGTAGTCCGTTCTGAACCACTACACCAAACGGCCGACAAATATGAATGCTAGAATTATATTTTTCTGCGCCACAAAAATTCCAGAAAAAATAAGCTTATTATTAATTGACTGACGTATTGTATAATTAAGTTACTGAACTTCCACTGATTTTTTTTTATATTTCAGCACTAACTGATCTCCCAAAATGTTGACAGGCCAAGCACAGCACAGTACACATAATAATAAGGTGCTTGGTTAACTACTACACAATCTGAGGCTGAGTTGCACCAACTTACTTTCACCACAACTTTCACCGTAACTTTAACAATAACCGGTGCTTTTTGTACTGAGTTAGACAGATTTTTTACGTTTGTTAAAGTCAAAGTAAGATGGTGCAACTCAGTCTTAATGTAACAAAAATGTAAAATTTTAAATTATAGTTAAAAACATCAACCTAAAAAGCTCCTCACAACAAAATGACCGCTGACCCTTATGAAATTAAACGGGAGCTAATTAAATCTGTACTTGGCAACAAGCAATCTGACATCTGACAGCACAGCAACAGTTTTAATGGCGCCTATCAAAACTTAACCGCTATCTTAATTGTTATGAGTCATTTTACTAGAGATTGCTTTATCAACCACTCTGGGCCCTGGAGTGTGAAAAATGTTATCATTTTCATTTAATTAATCTGCAATGAAGTACTGGAATCGTGTGATAAAGAAGGTAAAATACTTAGTTATTTACCTCGACATAGCATTTTTAAATAAAATCTGTACAACCCTGGTTTGAAAGTGGGCTTCCATTTGGTGAAGACGTTCAACTTGCAAAAAAACTCGTGATATTTTTGAAGATTTAAAAACTATGAAGCTTGATGACGTTCCCATGAGGTTTTAATCTTAGCGATTATTGTTGCCAGCAAATGCCAGGATCTCAAATCAATGGGTATTTGAAACAAAAGAAAAAATTAATAACATTCTATTTTTTTTTTTTTCATTTTCCTATATCTTCTTTTTTATTTTTTCGGTCAGGATTTTCTAGGAGGCCAGGATTTTTTCAATAAATTATAAAAATTAAATTCATTGGAAAATAATGTCCATCGGTAAAATCATAATTCATGCATGAATAAAATAAATCCGCAAGCATGCAATGTCAAATAAATCTGACCAAATGCTCGTTACATATTTACATTTAAAATTGCTGCTGCTATTTGAGTTAGCGAAAAGCGATTATTTTTTAACTGACCGATAAACTATTGTGTCCGTTCGAATAGTAGTGATTTTTTCGCTGAAACTATTATTTAGTCTTTTAATGGACGGAGTAGATCATGAATTTGATCATTTGGAAAATATTGGGATTAGGGGTATTTGCATCAATAGCTTTTTGATTAGATACCAGGATATCGAATGATAATATCGTTAAGTCTGTTACTATCTACCTACTTTACCTACTTTCATGCACAAACACACCTTTGGTACAATATAGGTACAAATCTACACATACTTAAGGCTTGGTATTTCATCTAAAGTAGGTATTTCGCGCTGTTTAAGGCTTGGTATTTCATCTAAAGTAGGTATTTCGCGCTGTCAAAATCTGCGCGCGCAATTCTTCGCCGAAAACAGCGCGTCAAAGAGCTCCCGCCACAATTTCCAGCTACACAGTATAGAAATACGCAGTTGGTTAGGTTAGGTTGACTTCCTTCCCTTCAAGCGTCACACTCACAACACTTTCTAATAGAAATCATATCCAAGTGATACAAATTAAAACACCTTTCAGACTTTTTGGGAATATATTCTAGAATCGAATAAATATAAAATATAACTGCAGAAGTAAACACTGTTCAAAGTGGCCGTGGCGTCCCCCGACCTTCTGGAAGTTACTCTTAGTAGCGATTATTAGAGCTTGGATAGTAAATTTAATTATAGTTGTTGCAATTCACGAAGCTTTGCATGTGGTTAATAACATTAATCAGTATAGGTACGCATCAGTTTTGTTCAGTCTCTTTGTTTATTAATAAATAAAAATATCATACTAAAATTGCAGAAACATATTAATTGTTTGTATTGGTCTGGGTGTTTTCTTTCTATAATATGTATGACGTATGTACGGGGTGCCGTGTGGGGACGGCCGTAAAGAATACCATTCCCCACCGCCAACAGGAGGCGTGTCGTAAGAGGCGACTAAATCCTGTAGCACGAGATGGGCAGCAGCGTCTAGGTGCGAAACCTTATAAAAAACTGCGAGTACTGGCAACTCCCCCCCCCTGATGAACGGCAGAGCTAAAACCAGGCCCCCAGTCTCCGGCAGCCCCGTTGTTCCTGACTACGGTAGCGGTTGGGGTGACGACGGGGCGGGGGGTGCTAAGAATCCCCGGAGGAGGAATAGCTACCACCACAAACGACAACTGGCCCTCGTAACACACAACATCCGCACCCTGAGGTCCGACGAAAAGATTATAGAGCTGGAAGATGAATTAAGTAGGTTGCGATGGAGCATTATAGGGCTATCGGAAGTCCGACGAGAGGGCGAGGACACGATAACCCTGAAATCCGGCAACCTGCTTTACTACCGGGAGGGCGAACAACTGTCCCAAGGTGGTGTCGGGTTTCTCGTCCACAAGTCCCTCATTAACAACATCATTACCATCGGAAGTGTGTCGAGCAGGGTTGCATACCTGATACTCAGAGTATCCAAAAGGTACTCGTTGAAGGTAATCCAGGTATACGCACCGACCTCTACACACCCAGATGAAGAAGTGGAAGCTATGTATGAGGACATAAGTAGGGCCATACATGCAACTAAAACCCACTTCAATGTCGTTATGGGGGACTTCAACGCTAAACTGGGCATGCGAGGTGATGATGAGCTGAGAGTGGGGCAATATGGATATGGGCGACGGAACCCCAGGGGACAGAGGCTGGCCGAGTTCCTGGAAAAGGAGAATCTCTATGCGATGAACTCCTTCTTTCAGAAGCCGCCTCACAGGAAGTGGACCTGGATGAGTCCCGATGGTTCCACGAGAAATGAGATCGACTTCATTATGACCACAAAGCGACGAATGTTTAGCGATGTCTCCGTGATCAACAGGGTGAAAACCGGTAGTGATCACCGGATAGTCAGAGGCATACTAAACATTAACGTCAAGCTGGAGAGGTCCCGTTTGATGAAGTCTACGCTCCGCCCCTCTAATGCTCATATTCACTGCCCCGAGAGCTTTCAGCTCGAGTTGTCGAATCGCTTTGCATGCCTGGAAAATTGCGAGTCAGTGGACGAGATAAATAACAGGTTCGTAGAAACTGTCCAAGCGGTCGGGTCGAAATTTTTTAGACCACGACGTAAAAATAAACCGCAAAAACTATCAGTCTCTTTGTTTATTAATAAATAAAAATATCATACTAAAATTGCAGAAACATATTTGTTTGTATTGGTCTGGGTGTTTTCCTTCTATAATATGTATGACGTATGTACGGGGTTCTGTATCGAAAATTACTATGAGCATAACACGCGGTTATCTGCTTACCTCTGTGCACTCATGGGAGTTTAATCAGAGGTCCCTAGAGTTTGACTTTGAGCTTTGTTTATAGTCATTACGAAGCAGACTGATGGGAAACTGCACTGTCTTGAATTCGAAAGGGCAATTTGACGGTGTTAGGGGAATTCTAGGAATAAATACAGAGTCTCCTCATTGAGATTGAGACATTTCAATTTGAGATTTCACTCGACATTGAACACAATCTGACATGGAGTTTTCAAACACTTGTAAAAATAAAAAGTATTTAAATCAAAGGCACTAAGTGGTATTGATATCAACTTCGAAGAAAATGACTGCCAAAATTACTTTCTACCCGTTCCACACGTCTTTCATGAATTATATTAAGGAATTGTTAACCTAAATTTCAAGTAGATTGAACCAAGGAATCACTTTGTCCCATACAAACTTTG